GCACCTAAAAGCAAAGTTTCAAAGTACACGAAGCAAAAACTGACAGAACTAAAGGGAGAAAAGGCATATCCACAATTAGAGTTGTAGATTTTAATGCCTGCCTCCTAGTACTTGATAGAACAAGCACTTTTTTTTTTTTTAAAAGCCTGAAAAGGTATAGAGATTTGAACACCATTATTAACCAACTTCACCTAATTGACACTACACTCAGGGAATACTCCTCCCAACTCATTTCTAAGAGGCCAGTTTTACCCTGATACCCAACTTACATTACAAAAAAGAAAAGTACGCTACTGGTTGGAATGCAAAATGGCATAACCCCTCTGAAAAACAGTTTAGTTGTTTCTTTAAAAGTTAAACGTACACCTATCGTATGATCCAGCTATTCCACTCCTAGGTGTTTACTCAAGATTAATGAAACCAACTGCCCATACAAGTACACAAATGTTCAGAGCAACTTTATTTGTAATAGCCCCGAACTAGAAACAACCCAAATGTCCGTCCGCAAGTGAATAAAGCAAACTGTGGTATGTGTATCTAAACAATGAAATACTCATCAATTAAAGGGAATAACTACTGATACATGCAACCATGGATGAATCTTAAAACAATCATGGTGAGTAAAAGAAGCCAGACCCCCACAAACACACAAAAAGGGTATATGCTGTAAGATGCTATATATGCAATATTCTAGAACATGTAAACTTATATACAGTAACAGAAAGCACATCAGTGTTTGCCTGGGGAGGGGCAAGTGGTGAGTAAAGGATTATAAAAGAACACAAAAAAACTTCAGAGTGATGGATGTGTTTGATATCTTAATTGCAGTGATGATTTCATGAGTGCATACATAGGTCAAAACTTAACCAAACTGTACAATTTAAATAACAGGCACTTTATTGTACTACAGGATGCCTCAATACTGTTTAAAAAAAAAAACCTCACCAGAAATATTTATCTTCTTGATTATGATCATCATCAACAAACCACTGATATTCATGGGGCACGGCTAGTTCTAGGATTGTAGTTCCCTAACCTTAAGAAGTCAGTTTTGGGAGTGATATTAAAAACTATGTAAAGGGGCGCCTGGGTGGCTCAGTCGTTAAGCATCTGCCTTCGGCTCAGGTCATGATCCCAGGGTCCTGGGATCGAGCCCCACATCGGGCTCCCTGCTTGGCGGGAAGCCTGCTTCTCCCTCTCCCACTCCCCCTGCTGGTGTTCCCTCTCTTGCTGTCTCTCTCTCTCTCTGTGTCAAATAAATAAATAAAATCTAAAAACCAGGTAAAATCCTGGGGAATTTTAGATAGAAATGATCAGAAAGTATGTCCTTGAAAGCAAATAACTCTCCAAACTACCCTAGGTCTTAAAGTAATTTACATACCTTTCCAAGAAAAAGAAGTTTCATAGAGGAAGTCACTCACTAGGCAAAGAGGAAACATCCTAACATTGTAAGTTTCTTCAGTTCATTGCATAGTTGGGACTCTCTGATAGTTTTAATGTGTTTTAATAAAGTACAGGCATGGTGATTTATTTAAGAACAATGACAAAAAGGGCGCCTGGGTGGCTCAGTCGGTTAAGCGTCTGCCTTTGGCTCAGGTCATGATCCCAGGGTCCTCCCTTGCTTGGCAGGGAGCCTGATTCTCCCTCAGCCTTTGCCTGCTGCTCCCCCTGGTTGTGCTCTGTCAAATAAATAAATAAAATCTTAAAAAAAAAAAAAAAAGACAACAAATCAATCCATGTAATATACCATATTACCAGAATAAAAGAATCCTAGAATCATCTCAATAGATGGAAGAAAAAAGATAAAACAGTGATTTATGACAGAAAACTTCAGTAAACTAGAAATAAAAGGTAACCTCCTCAACTGATAAAGGGCATTTATAAAAACCTACTTCAGCAAATATAATACTAACTGATGAAAATGATCACTGTTCATGGTGAAAAACTGAACCCTATGATTAGGAAAACGGCAGAGGGCGCCTGGGTGGCTCAGTTGGTTAAGCGACTGCCTTCGGCTCAGGTCATGATCCTGGAGTCCCGGGATCGAGTCCCACATCGGGCTCCCTGCTCAGCAGGGAGTCTGCTTCTCCCTCTGACCTTCTTCCCTCTCGTGCTATCTCTCATTCTCTCTCTCTCAAATAAATAAATAAAATCTTTAAAAAAAAAAAGGAAAACGGCAGAAATACTCAATAATTCTATTCAACAATGTACTGGAGGGTCCTAGTATAGTGAGATGAAAAAAATAAGAAGAAGAATACAGACTAGCAAGAAAGAAGTAGAGTTATCTTTATTGGTAGATGAAATCAGTATGTACAAGGAAAATCCTAAGAAACTGACAAAAAAGCTATTAGGACTAGTTCACTATTAGTGAACGTAGCAAAATTTCAGGACACAAAAATCAATACACAAAAATTGTGTTTTTATGTAATAGCAACAAGTAATCGGACAACTAAAAATCATAGTAGCAAAAAACAAAGTACTCAGATAATTTCATGAAATATATGTAAGACTTCTACTCTGAAAAATATAAACTATTGCTGAGAAAAAAAGACCTTACTTGGAGAGATATACCATATTCATGGATTGGAATACCCAGTATTATTATGTCTATTCTCTCTAAACTGGTCTATAGATTCAGGGTAATCCTAAACAGAACCCCAGTTGGATTTTTTTTAGAAACTGGAAATTAGAAATTCCCCTCACATTTAAATGGGAGAGCAAAGTTCCTAAAATTGACAAATATCCTATTAAAAGGACAAAGTTGAAAAACCAAGAGTACCTGAATTTAAGATTTACTATAAAACTCCAGTAAATAAGACCATATTGGCATAAACATAGACAAACAGAATGACAAAACAGAAATAAACTCATATATACTTACGCATGCAACTGATTTTCAACAAAGGTTGCAATGCAATGCAATGCAATGCAATGGGGAAAGGACAACTCTTAACAAATGATGAACAACCAGAATCTCCGTATGGGAAAAAATGAATCTCAACTCCTACCTCTCACCATTCATGAAGTTAACTTGAAAAGATCACAGACCTAAATCCAAAGGCTAAAATTATAAAGCTTCTTTTTTTGTTTTTTTCTTAAGATTTTATTTATTTATTTGACAGAGAGAGACACAGCAAGACAGGGAACACAAGCAGGGGGAGTGGGAGAGGGAGAAGCAGGCTGAGCAGAGAGCCCCGCGCGGGGCTCGATCCCAGCACCCTGGGATCATGACCTGAGCCAAAGGCAGATGCTTAACGAATGAGCCACCCAGGTGCCCCTAAAATTATAAAGCTTCTAAAAGATAATTAAGGAGAGTATCTTCACAATCTTGAGGTAGCTAAGATATTCTGGGTAGGACCCAGACAGTACTAACCATCGAAAAAAAGTGATAAATTAGACTTTGTCAAAATAAAAACCATTTATCAAAAGATACTGTATGAAAATCAGACGGCATGCTGAAGACAGGGAGCAAATATTCACAGTATATAAGACCTGGATCTAGAATATAGAGAGAGAGCTCTTACAACTTAATAATACAAAGACCAACACCCCAACCACAAAATGGGCTAAAGACTTTAGACAATCTGCAGAGTAAAGTATACAAATGGCCCATATGCAGATGAAAAAGTGCTCAATGTCATTGGTCATCAAGAAAATACAAATTAACACCACAATGACCACTACACACTCACGGGAATAGCTAGAATTAAAGAGCCCATCACCTCCAAATGTTGGCAAGAATGGGGAGCAAGCAGAACTCCCCTACGTGGCTAGAGGGAGTGCAAGATGCTACAGCCATTTTGGAAAATGGTTTGTAAGTTCTTACAAAGTTAAACACTCTCCCCTATGACCTAGCAATTTTATTCCCTGGTGTTTATCTGAGAGAAATACATATGCCCTCAACAAGCCTCCTACAAACACTTTCATAGCAGCTTCATTCGTAAGAGCCTAAAACAGGAAACAACCGAAATGAACAACAAAAGGCTAAACCAAATGTGGTATTTTCATAAAATGGAATACTGCTCAGCAGTCAAAAAGAATGAACTGATATATACTACATGTATGAGTCCTTAAAGACATTTTGCCAAGTGAAAGCAGCCAGATACAAAAAGAGCATTATACGACTCCATTTGTAAGGACTTCTGCAGTCAGTGTAGGTTCTAAATACTCTCATCAGACCCAGGGTCCTCAAGCCCGAGCCCTGGGTACCACCTGAAGTGGTCAAGTCCAGCCCCTAATTCCACACAGAACCCCTTGGCGTACAAATCTCCAGATCCGAAGGCCACTAGAGGGGCTGTTTCAGCCTCGGCAAACCAATCCTCTGTTTGATCTAGCCTAAATCTCTCATACCCTCCTTGCCCACATACCTGGGGATCTAAGGATGGAGCCCCCTCTGACACACAGGAGGGAAGCTGTGAAATCAGTAGTTTCAGGAGAATGGAAGGCTGGGATGTCCCACAGGAGGGGCCCTCAGAACTTTTTTCTTCCAGGCCAAGGGAGAAGGGAGAGATTGAGGGCCAGAGACAGGATGGGACCTGCCCAAGGTCACGCAACCCTGCGACCCAGCTGATTAAAACCCAGGGCTTCTGAGTCTTGGCTTAGTGCCCCTTCTAGCTTTCCACCCCTTCCACCACCAAGGACAAAGAGGCAGCTGTCTTGTCTAGCTGGCCGTGGCTTAGCTGCATCACGTGGCGCTGGCTCTCAGGAACCACATGATTCAGAGGTGCTTAGAGGTGAGGACAGAACCACTGAAGGACGTGGATGATCGCTGCCCACCCTGAGTCTACCGATGGCGACTCAGGCTTTCCTGGCTGAAGGATGGGGCCTTCCCAGCTATTCCAGCTTCCACAGTAAGGTGGCCCAGGTCAGACCTGGACACCTGGAGATTGCCCGGGGCCAAGCTCACCTTTGCGTTCACCCTCCCCTGGCAAAGCCTCAGCCCTAGGGCTGGCCCACCCCTCCCCCGACTCCCCCAGCCCCCAACCAGAGAAGGTACTCACTGATGGGGGCGTGTAAGGCCACGTGCTCCTGGTAGGGTGTGTAGTACTTGTACTGCTTTCCGCAGAATTCACAGGTGTAATTGCCAGTTTCTGTCCAAGGAGAGGAAAGGGTGGGAATGGGCGCCTGACTCCCGTCCAGAAGCAGACAGCATGCTCCCTCCCCTCCGACTCCCCCTCATCCTGGGACCAAGTACAATCAGGAGCCCACTGGAGTCAGACCGCCTGGGTTCAAATCCCAGCTCCTCCATGTCCAGCTGTGTGACCTTGGGCAAATCTCTTAACCTCTCTGTGCCTCAGTTTTCCTATCTGTAAACGGGGGTAATAATAGGACCACCTTCTAGGATTGCTGCGAGGATTAAATTTATATGTCAAGTGCTTAGAACAGTACCTGGCACACGTGGTTTCTCCAACACTCCACCCCCAGGCCCTGGCGTTCAGGAAATGTGTGGTGACCTGAGCTGACCCCCCAGTGCCAAGATCTCGCTCAGCCCCTTGGCGAGCCCTGCCTTCTGCAATGGCCACACTTGGGTCCCCTCATCTCCAAGACCTTCCCCACCCCAAGCACCCCCACCCCCCAGCAGGAGGGGGTCACATCTTCCTCTTGGGTCCCACCAGACTTTATCTTTACCTCTCTTTTGGCACTGCCTAACTTCTTTCTTCTTAAAAATTTCTGATGTAATATTGTTCACTGGGGGAAAATTATAAAATACTGATAAATACAAATACAAAATTTAAAGAGTAAGAGAAATTTCAATCATCTGTCACCCCCAAACAAAGAGTAGCAGCTACCCCTTGGAGGGGGGACCGTGCAACCTTGCCATCCGCCCCAGGCCCCACCCCTCCCCTCCCCTCCCATCTCTTCCGGATCGGGCTTCTCTCCCCTGACGTCATCTGTCTGGCTCCGGCGGGCCTTGAATTAGCCAGCCCTGATCCATATCCTCTTTGTAACCTGGTGTATTCAATCGACAATACTTTGTGGACATCTTGCTTAGTCAATAAACATCGATCCATACTGCATTTATTGGCTGCATGGTTCCCCCTGGACTCTGAAATCTGCTGAGCCAGTCTCCTACACCAGGGGACGTGTGGATTGTTTCAAAATTTTTCCCTTACCAAAAAAAAAAAAAAAAAAAAAATGCTGTGATCCACGTCCCTGTAGAAATGTTTGCCCATTTGCTCATTATTTTCCATATCGCTGCAAAATAAAGATTTGCGCATAATTGTTGCTCGTTATTTCCTCAGGATAAATTAAGGGTATGCATTTTTAAGGCTTTTGATAACCATAGCACCAACTACATATCAAAAGGTTGGGTCAATTTTCATCCCAATCAGAAAGATTTGCCTCATAGGGGGAACCACACTGCACTGCTGCTTTCAAGTTCCATTGTCTGCGTTCTAAGGAAACTGACTATTTTTCACGTTTAACCGCAGTTTTTCTTCTGTGACGTTCCCATTTGTGTTCACAATGTTTCCATAGATATATTTACCTTTTTTTAACTGCCAAGAACTCCATAAGGACATCAACAATTTTGTTTATATGTTACAAGTATTTTTTCTCAATTTTTTTTTAATTCTGTGTATGGTTTTTCTCTCTCAGTATGGACTTAAAACTTTTTCATAACTTTTATAACTGATTCACTAACACTGGAAAAGATCTATTTGCTGTTCATAGGTTTCAAAGTTGTTAGAGCAACTGTATTTGTATTATTCAAACCCTATTTGATCCTATTTGTCTACCTGTTCTATCAAAGACTGAATGTTGTGATCAATCCTTCCACTGTGTCGTACTTCCAAATTTATTTTGTATATTTAGATGCAATGTTGTCTGATGCATATAAATAAGGCTCATGAGATCAAAATCATCACTGTTAATTGTAGCCTTCAGAACATGACATTATTTTCTAGCACAGTGCTTCTAAAAGGTGTGGTCCCTGGACCAGCAGCATTAGCGTCATCTGACAATCGGTCAGAAATGCAAATTCTCAAGACTTCTCCAAGACACGCTGAAAGAAAAGTTCTAGGACCAGGATCCAGGAAATCTGTGTTTCAACAGGCCCCCTAGAAAAATCTAACACACAGGAAACTTGAAGAACCACTGCTCAGATATTTAATTACACTGTTGTATTAGTTCGTCTGACATTAGTTACTAATTCTTGATCATTTGTAAGAGCCTTTCTCCTTGTTTGCATGTGCCTAAAAACATTTCCCTAAATTTTCTTGGGAAAATTCATTAAAAAGATACTTCGGCAAATGCCACCACAAAACGCTGAGCAAAAGCAATCATGGTTCCTGCCTTCAAGGAGCTTACAGTCTGGAAAAGGAAACAGAAAAATCAAATAATCACACAAACTTAAAAACTGCAACCACAATGGGTGTTCTTAAAGGAGACATTTACAGTGCTATGAAAATCCCAATAGGGAATTCAATCAGTTAAGGAAGCAAGAGGGAGCTCCCCGAGAAAGAGTATAAGATGAGGAATTACAAGGTATGTCTCTAATAAACCATTATTTCAAATTAACTGGAGAACCTTTGTCTTCTAATAAAAGAGATTATGCCATTTGCTTTTATTGCTATAATTGACTTGGTTTTACTTGTTCTGTGTTTTGATTCCTTTATGTTCTTCATGTTCTACCCTTTCTGGTTTGTTTCCTTCGTTTTCTGTTGTTTGATGCATGAAATCTTTTCTCTGCCTCTCCATTATTCTCCAATATTCCATTATTTTCCAATATTTTCCTTTGTCTGTCTTACACAGCATGTAAGATACATCTGTCTGTTACAGTTAAGCAGAAAATGACATTTTCAAGTCTATTACCATGGAGAATGGTAGCCTAACTCCATGCTTCTCAAACTTTAGCAGGTTTAAGAATCATCTAGAAGGGCGGTTACAACACAGATTGCCCGGCTCCGCCCCAGAGATTCCGATTCCATGGCTCTGGGGTGAAGCCTAAGAATTTACTTGTCTGATAAGCTTCCGGGAAATGGTGCTGCTGCTGGTCTAGGGCCCACACTATGGGAAGGACTGGTTTAATCTACTCTACCGTATCCTTCACCTACTCCTTCTCGTGTTCTTACAAATCATTTTTAATACTGTAGAATGATCTTTGTCTTTTGCATTCAATTTTGTAATCATATTCACATTTTAAACTTATTTCTAGTTTATCTGGTTTTAACACTGACCACAAGTCCTCCTGTGCTATGAATTCATTCCTCACAACTGGAGTGCTTTTTATGAATTTTTTGAAGATGGGTACATAGGGAAAATAGTGTGTTTTCAAGCCCTCACTTTTCCCTTTACTCATAAATTACAATCTGTCTAGATATCTAATTCTTAGGAAGTAACCTATGTTTCCCTTCAAAACATATTCCATTATCTTTTGGCACTGAGTACTGTGCAGAAGTCTGAGGCAAGTCCCCTTGGATTCATCTGTTAATAACTGGCTTTTCTTATGCCTAGATGCCTGCATGTTTTTTCCTTTATATTTACAGTTTTAAAAAGTCACAAAAGTCTACTGAGTTATGGGTCTCTCTATACTGAGGTAGATTATAGCCCAATCATCTGTCACCCCCTGACATACGGTGAGCCCTTAAATCAGCATACATGGGTCTGCCTTTAGCAAATCTCCTATTATATCTTTGGAGCATTGCTTCCGTCCCACTGGCACAATTATCTGGAACCGGCTCCCCAGGCTCCATAGTTAGCTTGTTTTCCCCTTGTTCTCTTGATCTGTTCGGGTTTCTCCTCCCCATAATTAACTCCACTTCTGCAGATCAACTCTGCTCTTTACTACACACAATGTAGGTTTTAATTCTATTTTGTTTCTCTGCAGTCCTTCACCTCACTCCTTTCTCTGCCTCTTCATTTTATCCTGCTGCTCTGTCACTGGACAACTTCAGGCTCCTCTCTCACAGGGGTCATGCTACGGACTGAACCGTGGCCCCCACCCCACCCCCAAAGTCAACTGTTGATGCCCCACCTCCCCATGTGATGGTGTTTGGACATGGGGCCTGTGGTAGGTAACTGGGCTGAGATGAGGTCATGAGGGTAGGGCCTCATGACTGGATTAGTGCCCTTATATAAGAAGAGGCACCGGGGAGCTTGCTTGCATCAGTTTCCCATCACGTGAGGGGCACAGACGGAAGGTGGCCATCCCCAAGTCAGGAAGAAGGTTCTCACCAGAACCTGATCAGGCTGGCACTTTGACCTTGGACTTCCAGCCTCCAGAACTGTGAGAAAATAAAGCTGTTTAAGCCATCCAGTCTGGCAGTTTGTTATGACAGTCCAAGCAGACTAAGAGAAGTCATATTTTCTTAGATTCAGTTGTGGCTGTCAAACAGAATTTTCTTCTAGATTTTGTAGTAGGTCATTTTTAGAGGTATGCTTTTCCTCCGAGTCTCCTAATTTCTGTCTTGTTAGGTGGAATTTTTACAGTTTCATACTTTGGGTTTTTTCTCTTTTAATTTAAAAGTTTTTCAAGTTACTCATCCTTAGCCACATATAAAAATCGAGTAAACTACAGATGATCCAGACTTACTGTTTTCAGTAGACATGAGTGAACTGTTCTTGAGCCCCCCATTATCATGACAGTAAATTATCATGGCAGACGACTATCACGGTAGTAATTCTCAGATCTGCAGCTGGAGAGCAGGCTGACACGCAGGTCCCCTGTGACCAACTGTCTCCTTCTAGAAGGATTCTTCTGCTGTCATGGCTCAGCTTCCTCCTCCCTAGGTACCTAACTCCCCAATTTGCTCAGGTGATGTGGATATGGATGGTGTACTTCCCAGCATGTGCTGCTTCTGGGGTTTTCCCCTTCCGGGACCCACAAAGCTCTACCTGTGGCCAAAGTTCCTTTGTGGGGCTCTGTGCCTCTCATGACTCCTCTTACTCTACAGCTTGTCATTTTTAGGGTTCTGTGACCTCGGCCTGCTTGAAACCCAAGATGCAGCATTCTTATCTCATGAGGCAGCTCCTGAGCGGTAACAGGAGATGCTCACACTAGTCTAGCAATCTCAGTTTCAAAATGTCAAGCTGGGAGCATGCAGGGAGCCAAACCCAGTTCCGTTTTCTCAGTGCAATTCCCAACTGTGTATGATGTGTGACAATTCCTCCCAGATCCTAGCACTGGTCGTCTGTCCAACTCAGTTACTGATATACGGAACAAGTTTCATCTGGTTCTGTAGTGAGTTTTCTTGTTGTTATCAGCCCATTCTTGAGTTAAGGAAACCGTGGATTAGGGAGATCATAAAGCGTGTAGGACATCATGCAGGTATGAAGTGTAGAGCGGGGGTTTCATAGATGGGATGCTCTAAAGCTCCTAGTCTTGGCCATTTCTTGACAATATCACTCATTTGTTATGCCCTGAATACAAGCCAGGGGCTGGGCCAGTCCCTTCCTGCACGTATCCGCCAGCGGCCTTACAGAACAGAGAGATGTTCTCGTCCCCAACTTCCAGATGAGTCAAAGGACACTAAGAAGGGCTAAGTAACTAGTCAATTGGTGATGTCAGCATTCAAACCCGGGCCTGATTCCAATTCTATTTTCATAATTACGATGCTACAGATGGAAGGGCAGGGCTAACCCGGGGGCAGCGGACCGGCAGTTCTGAGATGGCAGGTCACAGATCCCACTGTCCCTGTCCTGTATCTGTCTATAATCGTCCATCACAGAACAGGGCTCACTCACAGGTGGGTTTCGCCAGTTTAACTTTTACCCGTTTTAGCATTGAGGGCTTCCTTATTTTCTTCCAGAGAGAGAAAACTGGACACATCCGCATAGTAAACTCATGACAAGCACTGCACTAACCGCTTCACAGTTACCATTCCAACCCCAGTCTCCTAAGTGCTTAAGAGTTCAAAGAAAGCAATGACCCAGTCAACACATTCTGAAGGTCAGGGCCAAGCTCCGCCCTGTGAGGAGCACCTCCAGCTTCACTGTTTTTCCTGCCCTAAGATGTCCTCATGCATTCAATGTTTGCGTGTTTATTTTGGCAAGCTACCTGAAATCCTTATTGTAATGAGGCAGAGTCAACAAAGGTCTTTTTTAATGAGTGGTAAGCAAGAGGAGGAGGAATGCCAATTCCCGAAGGGCTGGACCAGACACCTCTCACTGGCCGACTCCACCCAATCCATTCTTCTAGAAACAGCCAAAATGTTCTTCCTAAAATGTGAATCTGATCAAGTCCCTTCCCCACTTGGGAAACTCTCTAGCTCATTTCCCTCAGAAGGAAGTCTAGAAGCCTTCCTCTGGCATTCAAGGCTAAGACCCGAACTCAGAAACTGACTGGCCTTTCAATTCCCTAGAACACGAGCTGCTCTCCTGCCTTCACCCCGTGATGCAAGAGCTCATTCCCCACCCTGGCCCCCAAAGCAGAAGCCTCCCCGCTTCCCAGGGCTGGTCAGGTGCTTCCCCGGCCCCCATGGCTCCCTGTGCTGCAGGGCATGCTCTATCTATCTGCACACTGACCTACTGTCCCCTTCCTGTGCCAAGTACCCAAAGGCAGGGCCACAACGGCTCCACCCACTGTGTCCGCCCCACATTCCACACAAGTGTGCTGAGAACAGGCAGGCAGCAGGTGTGGCACCTGCCCTCAGGGGTTTCATGGAACAAGGACAGAATGTCCAAGTGCCTCCCTTGGATGGCTTCATTTGCCAATGAACCCCCCCCTTCATTTGTGGATGACGACAACAAGGGTTATTTTCCGAGCACCTATTATGTACCAGGCACTGTGCTAATAGGTGATTTACATTCACGATCTCATTTAATCCCCCAACAAACCTTCGGGGAAATGTAGTCCTATTGACAGGTGAGGAGCCGAGGCTCAGGACGGCTAACAGACCACCAGGGCACCAAGCATGTGCTACACTCACTGCCCTCACCTTGACCCTGGGCTGTTCTGCTGCTCCTCAAAAGCTGAAGTCCTAAGACTGGCCCATCTGACAGGTGGGCAAAGTGAGGTATAAGGAAGCCAGCGATCACTGGCCAGTAGCACTGTTGTGGAATGAGTGAGGTCACCCCCTTCCAATGGCAAGACTCACCCCACCCCCCTCAGCCGGCCCCCAGCTGTCTCCCCACCCTGCCCAGCCCCAGAGAGAGGCCCGCATACTTGGCCCGATTTTCTGGAATGGTTCCGGGGGTTCCTCCTTCACCTCGTCAGTGGCCACAACACCTTGGTCGAAGGGGTCTGTGGGAGAACACACAGCCCTTAGCGCCCTGGTGACCAGGTCTTGGGAGCCCAGGTGGGGACAGGGAGGTGGGCAGTCACCAAGGACTTACCTGCCCGATTCTCGGGGGCCCCTTCCACACTAAACACTGCGCCCGGGTGGGAGGCAGCAGCCGCAGAAGGAAAGAAGCAAACAGGAGCCCTGTTAGTCCCTGCCCACAGCTGCCTCTGCCCAATGCTCCCAGCCTCTCTGGGACCCAGGAGAGCTGCCGTGGCCAGTGTGGACGCCCCAGAAAACCAGGGGCCACAGGAGGGCACATCCCAACGAGGACGCAGCCCGTGCCTCCATTCCTCAACCTCCCCATGGGCTAGGGCCCAACCCGGAGGAGGGCAGATGCTATCTGCCCGGCCTGTTTCTGGATCCTGTCTGTGGGATCACTGCAGCCACCCTCGAGTGGCCAGAACAGGAGAAAAAGAGGAAGAGACCAGGTAGGAGAAAAAGAGGTGATGAGAAGAAGGACAAGCCAGTGGCAATGGGAGGCAGGGCCTGGCTGTCACAGCTTGCGATGGGCCGGGGTGCAGAGCTGGAGAGGGAGCCCCCTCCATCCTTTCCAGGCCCAAGACCCTATTTCTAGGCTTGAGAGTCTAAAAATAAATTACCTAAATTTATGGTTCTAATTTCTAACTCTATAACCTAAGATGCTAAAATATCATCATTCATTTTAAAAAACTGGTTTAATTTCATCAGAGCATGTATGAAATTGTAAAATGCATGCATCGATATGAAATTGCTGAAATTTGACGGATTCTGACCTACAAAAATGGCAATTTCACTTGGGCTACCCTCATCAGAAGAAGATATGGAGTATGACGGGGACCTTCTCTTTCCCAGAATCCTCAAGGGTCGGTCACTCCCCTCATGGTCTTGACTGCTGCCTACCCTTCCTCTGGGTGGGAGGAGAGAGGGGACAATTGGGGGTTGGAGAGGGGAGCCAGATGAGCAGCCCGGGTGCCAGGGGTGGGGGTGGGGGCGCTCCTCTTCACAGAGCGAGGGGCCCGACTCACCATCCACAGCGTGCAGGTCCCGGTGCTCCTGGAAACAGCTGTAGTACTTATACTTTTTCCCACAGATGTCACACGTGTACCTGAAATTGTCTGTGGGGGATGGAAAGACACAGGCAGTTACCAGGACTTTGGACTCTTGGGCTGGGGATTTTTTGGGGGGCCAGCTCATCTGCCTTAGAAGCCAACATGGGACTAGGCCACACCGGCCCCAACCAGTGACCCGTGGACAGTCCGTCCCGGGAGTGTTAGGGGTTCTCTACACAAGGAGATACGAGAGCCTTGAAGCAATGTTCAAACCAAACCCCAATCCCACTCTGGGTGAGTCGAGCTCCTATGGGCCCGCCCCACCCCACCCCCTTCTTGAGGTTACAAGAGAGTAACTGTCACTGCACCTACTATTTCCTGGCGCTGCATGCGCAAGGGGCCAGGCCGGGCACTTTATCTGCCTTTCCTCCGTTGGTCCTTGTGACCAAGGCAGGAAGTCGTCACCCACTGAACACACGTGTAGACGGAGGATCAGAAGGGACCTGTCCCCAGCCCCACAGCGAGGAGGGCCTGTGATAGGCAGCTTCCCAATGACCCTGGCCTCCTGACACTCAGACCCGATGTCATCCCTTTGCTTTGAGCCTGAGCGGGACCTAGGGACTTGCTTCTAATGAAGGGAATGTGATAAAGTGATGGGATGTCATTTCTGAGGTTAGGTTACAAAAGACCGTGACTTTAGTCTCGCTCACACCGCCTCGCTCTTACGAGCTGCCCCGGAGAGAGAGCCATATGGCAGCCTCTGGTGAACAGCCAGTGGGGAAGTGAGGCCCTCAGTCCCACAGCTTGGGAAGGACCCAGCCTGCTAACAGCCGCGTGAGTGTTGAAGCAGCTCCTTCCCTGGCTGAGCCTTAAGAGGAAATCACAGCCTTGGCCCACACCTCCCCTGCCCCAGGAGCCCCACAGCCAAAGGACCCAGGGAAGTCACACCCAAGGTCTGACCACACAAACCAAGATAACCAACGTTCGTTTAAGTCACTCAGTTTTGAGGATATGTGTTACACAGCAAGAGGTAATGAATTTAGGGCCAGAGTTTGGATGATCCCTAGGTCTATCCAAATTCTGAGGCTGGACCCACTCAGGACACTGTTCTCACCACGCACTAGCAGGGACCTCCCGTGTGTATTCCTTGGGCAGATCTAGGGATGGCCCATCTTCCTGATGAGGCCCCGCACAGGGAGACTGAATGGCTTGCTCAAGGCTGCACAGTGGGGCGAGGAAGAGCCAAGATTCAAATACTCACTTAACTCCATGCCATAGCTAAGTCAGGGCACATGGCCCTTCTCGGACTGCATAAGCCACCTTCCACTCCTGACTGAGGCACCAGGCCTCCGGCCCTTCTTCTGCTCCCCAGCACTCAAACACAGGATTCGATGAGACTCCCTCCCTCCATCCCAAGGTTGCCAGGCAATTCTACGGGAAGGCTTCTGGTCCCTGCTTAGCTCAACTTAGGGGCACAGAGGACATCAGCCTCCTCCTTGCCTCTGCCCCCCATCTCTTCCACTGCACCTGCAGGCTCTCAAAGTCCCCAGGGCCACAGAGATTAACTGGTCCCCAAGCGAGGCGCACACAGCGTCAGCAGACACGGTCCTTCTGAGGGTCTGGGGACCAGGCCCTGCCACCTCCGAGCCCACCCCTGAAACAGCCAGGCAGCAGTGGGGGGAGGTGGGAGGGTGTGGAGGAGGAAGGACCTGGTTCCACTCTGCCGCACGCAGACTGTCAGCTCAGCAAGTGCTGACCCTACCTTGGGATTCAGCTTCTCTTCACTGCCCCCTAATTTGAGGAGATAGGAGGGTCGTAATGAGCTGATTCCCATGGCTGCTTCCAGGCTGGCCGTTCTAGGATTCCAAGCCTGGCTCCAGCTTCAATCCAGACTAGACAATAACCACCACCACACGCCCCATCATGTCCCAGCTGGACCATAATTCTCTCTCGGTGCTGGACACTGGGGAACAAAGCTGAAGAAGTCAAGGCCATCCAGGGTCTGGCTCCAGACAGGTCCCTGCCCCTGAAATGCCTCTCCCCTACTGGCCAGTGCTGGTCGCCCTCCACAGCTGCTGGAAGCACCGTCTCACCTCTGCTCACACAGCCCCTCCTACCACCTCCAAGAAAATGAGAACCCCCAGCTTTCTGCCACTGAGAAGCACCATCACCCCGCTCTGCAGAATCCCACCCCATTCCTTCTCGACACGCATGGGGACCACACTCCTGGGCCCACCTAAGGCAGGGGTAGATTAGGACAAAAGAGTTATCCCCAGAGGAAAAAAGGCAAAATGATCTTTCTGCCAATGAAACCACATTTTCAGAGCCTCCAAGAGAGCCCAGAATCTCTAGGAAGGGCACCGCGAATCAGTCTGGGGGGACAGGCTCTGGAGTCAGGCTGCCTGACTCCAACCCGGCTCGGCCACCAACCAGTGTGACTAACACTGGACACACTCCCCAACGGCTGCACCTCGGTTTTCTCATCTGCAAAATGGGAACGACGGTACCTTCATCTCCCAGAGTTGTAATAAAGAATGAGGAAGCACAATGCCTCAAAGACAAGAAATACTTGGTAAATGTTACCTAATGCTGTTTCGGAAAGGGATTCAATGTAACAGCAAGAGAACTGGACGTGGAGCTAATCTTTGATTTTCTTAGCTAAGAGATGGGTGAGTGGGCATATGCCTCCATTTTGGACTGTACAATTTTTCTAACAACTAAATGAAAGACCCTGGACTAGAAGACGGGAGGCCTGGTTTCTAGGCCCACCTCCACCACTAACAAGTTCCATTGAGTTCTCTCTGGGACACAGTGTCCTCATCTGCAAAACAGGTAGGCTGGACTTGGTAGTATTCTCGACACAACGCTTTTGGCTCCAGGGCTCCATGGTCAGGCTCCTGTCACGAGGATGCCAGGCTTTCTGAGCAGGCGCTGCTGGCCTGGGTCAGGGTAGGGGTGCAGGACGGAGAATAAAATAAAGCACAGTGGCCGTGGGGAGGAAACTCCCTAAGGAGGAAGGCAAAAGTGATGGAAAGACTAAAAATACCCCCAGTGGCAGAGTCCTCTACAGCCAGTGGGCCTCCAGGAACCATGGAAGCCAGATGGAACACAATGGATCATTGAGGGGCTGCCGGAGAAGCCAGGGGCCCAGAAGAGCGAAGGAAGGAAAGATAAATAAAAAAGATCTTTAAATGTGTGGCTGACCACAGGCAAACCACAGGAGCCGGAAGAGAAGGAACCTTCTGAAGGAGAAGGGAGCCAGGGGCTAGGCTGGGGCAGGGCTCAGGGAGGAGAGACAGGCTTACACCGCTTCCTAGCCAGGGTCCTCCGGCAGGTGTCGGGCCTAAGTGAGCCTCAGAAAGTCTAGAACACAGAATCTTAGCCTGCCCTGCCTGCCTCTCATGTGATGTGGGAATCCAAGGAGAGAATGGATGGGAAAGGGCCTCAGAAGAAACGCTTTTTGGACCGAGTACAATTAAGGCCCTGCGTTGGCCCACACACCTCCTCAATCTGCTTTGTTTTGGAATTTTTTGGGGGGGAGCGGATCATGTTTATTCTTTTTAAAAACCTTTTCTGGCAGGAAGAATAGGGATTGACAAACTATGGCCTGCCCACCCTCTGTTTTGGTGAAAAATTCGTTTCCGTTATCATCTCTACGTTCATGCTACATGGCAGAGCTGAGTGGTGGGGACAGAGATGTCTGGCCTGCAAAGTCTAAAATATTGACTATCTGGTCCCTACCAAAGAGTCTGCTGACCCCGACGCAGAAAACCGATCAGCTCCTTCAATTTTCATAAACCAGAAACACCTGTGTCATCAGCACCCAAAAACCCCTTCCCTAGGATAACCATGATTTCTTCCAGCACGAATCACTTTCCCAATTTTGTACTTCCGGTACACAGTTCTTAAGGAGGAGGGGCTCTTGTGTTAGACTCCTTTTGCTAACATTCTGTTTGTGGGTAATCCACATTGCTGGGTGTAGCCATACATCATTCCTTCTCACTGCTTCATGTGAACACACCACGACTGATCTGTCCATTCACCTAGCACTGGGCACTCAGGTGGTTTCTGGTTTGGGGCTTAAAACAGTGCTGCTAAAAATATCCCAGTTCCCGGGCGCCTGGGTGGCTCATTCCGTTGATTGTCTGCCTTCGGCTCAGGTCATGATCCCAGGGTCCCGGGATGGAGCCCCACGACAGGGTCCCAGCTCCCTGCTCAGTGGGGGGTCTGCTTCTCTCTGCCCCTTCCCCATGCTTGTGCTCGCACCCGCTCTCTCTCTCAAATAAATAAAATCTTAGAAAGCAAAAAAGAATATCCACTTCCCATCTTCTGGTGGACATGTGCACACGGTTCTGTTGGTGGATACACCTGCGAGTAGAATGGCTGGGTTCTGGAGCTCAGGTTCTTTGGGCGGGGAGAGGTTCCAGCCCCGTCTACACCCATCTGGCTTCTTCTGAGGCCCGTGGGTTTATATCTGGGGGCAGGGCAAGCAGAACGCTGTCCTCACATGGCAAGGCCCTATGAGGCCCAGGCTGGGGTAGCGCACCCAGAGATTAGTGCCCATGGGTGCTCATGAGAAAAGCCTGGGAAGTAGCATTTCCCAAACATCAGCCCTGAGTTTCCCAGGGAGGGACCCTGGGAAGTGTACCACAAAGAAACATGTTCATCTTAGCAGAACTCAAGCTTCCCTAGGTTATTTGGCCAGAGAACCTGTTACTGATAGAACACCTATTAGCGTCCCCAGGATGTGTGCCATGAACACACTTTGGGAAAGGCTGCTCTGAGGTACCATCCTACAATGTCATAAGACCCTCTGGCCCCAAAGCCTGAACCCACAGGCCCCTTGGGACAGTCCTGAGGGGGGACAAGAGCAAGGGGAAAATACTCACTGCCTTGGGAGGCTCCCTCCCCTGAGGTGGCTTCGGTGTCTGCAAGAAAGAGAAAATGAGAAGTGAGCAGACCGGACCCATGGCGGGGCCGGTGCCAAAGAGGGAGAGGAGCGGAGCAAGCCGGTGATCCCACCACAACGTGCCCAGGACACTCTGTGCCCATTCACAGCCCCTCCCTGTGCCCCCTGTCGTCAGTCAGGCCCAGACCCACTGCCCTTCCTCCCTGGCACCATCTGCCATGTGCCCTCAGCCTCGTCCTCTTCGGAATGGAGACAGCGCCCTGCCCCCACTCCCAGGGCTGCCAGGAGAAGCGCCCAAGAGGACACATGAGCACCTTCCCTGCAGGGGCCGCTCACACCAGACGGCACTGAAGCACCCTGGGAGGAAGCAGGCCCGTGTGGAGCAGGCAGGGGACAAGGGTAGGGGACTGGAGTCAGGCAGTTACACCGTGTCGGGGTAACATGCCTGGCTGCCTGTCCTCCCAACCCCCCACTGGCCTGTGTGCTCTCCCAAGTAAGGAGGCCTCTTCTCTCCAGCCTACTGCAGACACAGTGAGAGGACCGGCGCTGGGGGCGGGCAGGGGCGGGGGGGGGGGGGCCTAGGGTCATCCACAGGCCAGGCAGAGAATGGGGAGGTGTGGCCCTCGGCTCTGCCCCAGGGATGCCACGCACCTCGGTGTGCCCGTACGTGGGTCTGGAAACAGTTGTAATACTTGTACTTCTTGCCACAGATTCCACACTCGTAGGATCCTGAAAAACAGGAAAGAAAGGGACAGCTCAAGTCAGTATCCAACGTTTACAACTATGAGGTCCCAGGACCCATAGTGATGCCCCCAAGTGGGGTCACGAACTCCATGAGAGGGGGCAGGGGTCATCCAGTGGGCTGTCTTAGCCCCAGCAAGCAGAGAAGCAGCAAGGACCAGCAGTCACAGCCCTGAGCTGGAAGTCAGGAGCCCGGGGTCTAGTTCCAAGTTTCTGCCCCAATTCTCTACGTGACCTTGGGCAAGTCACTTCCCATCTCTGGGCCTCAGTTTCCAAATCTGTTAAGAAAGAGAAGACAACTCCTTCTTACACTTATTCCTTGAGAGGAAAAAGGAACTTAAAAGTGCTCTTTCAAACTAAGGAATAAATGGCATCCATGGAAGGAAATCAACATGCATTCAAGTAACTTCTACCTCTCCTCCTTACCAGGATGGGACAGACTAAGAGGACAGTCTTTGAACCAGATGGATCTGATCCCCATTCCTGTTCTGCCACTTAACAGCATCATGCCCTAGGTTATTCCCTTAGACACATTAAGCCTCGGTCTGCTCATCTGTCAAATGGGGCTACAAACACCTACCTCACAGGGGTGGTCCTATATTCCCCCTAGGAAGTGCCCAGCCCTATCAGAGACGTGCCCTGCAGGGAGAGCACCCCCTCCCCGCCCCCCCGCAGTCTTCTGAGAAGCTTTCTTGTTCTCTCAGACATACAGAGACCGACACGGTGTAACTGCCTGACTCCAGTCCTCTACCGGGCACTTCTCCCAGGAGCTGGGACCGAAATGGCTGAGTTCCCAGTAGGCATTTTGGACAGGTCAAGGCGGAGCCCACACTTGCAGAGCACACACAAAAGGCCCATGGCAGGAAGCCAAGCAGAGCCTATCAGACCCAGCCTGGCAGGGGCCCCAGGCTCAGAGGCCCTGCTCATCCCTCACGGAGGCCCACAAACACCTGAGTCTGAGCCGCATCCTTCCTAACAGACTGGCCAGGAAATTCGCACCAATACAGAGGCCCTGGCCCCACGCCAGGGTCAGTGCCCTACAACAGCTGGGGCTAGGGGCCTAAGAATCTGCCTTTTCCAAAAGGGTCCCTCAGGGGATTCTGAGCAGACCAGCAACCAGGTTCAGGAACCACTGACTTTAGAGTAAGACAGACCTGGGAGGGGATCTCAGCTCTACCCTTTACTGGCTAGGCTTCAGTTTCCTTCCGGGAAAGAGTGAAGACTGGCTTGTTCCTGCCACGAGCCCAGGTGTTCACTGAGTGCCCGCATCACCAGCTATTACTGCCTTCAGTCTCTCCTGGGGGCAGAGGCCTGTTTACTGGGTGCAAACTCCAGGTATCCGGTTAAGTCTGAGGAGCACCGCGTCGGACTGTCCGCTCAGCTCTGCCACAGCCCTCAGCTGACCTCAGGCACATCCCTTTTCCGGCCTGAGCCTCAGCGGCCTCACCTGTAACCCAGGACGGTGACGCCTACGTCTCACGACCGAGGTCAGGACTAACAAGACACACGGGTGGCCTCGCCGTCTTACCACTGTGGGTCGTAAGGGGGACGCTGTCATCCCAACACCAGCGTGGAACCTCGCAGCCTGTTATCCAGTGGTTTTATCTGCCTGAGCCTTGTCTCACAGAAAAAAATACAAATACGGGGAGGGCAAAGATCAGATTGTGTATTTCTTTGTCTTTAGCCCCGGGATTGGCACACCACGGGGGCTCAATAAATTCACGGTGTCCTGCCGTTCTACTTATCTGTCACCAAGTCATAATGACCCCAACTGCCTTCCTGTGCCTCTACCCCACTCTTCAACAGTTTCTGCCAATTCCCCTTCAACCAACCGAGAATTTATGGAGCATCTTCAAGGTGCCTGGCACCAAAGCTCCAACCATGAGCCAGTCCACAAGCGATCACTGCCCTCCGTGACAGGAAGCAGACAGACCACTAGGCAAGGGGACGGGCAAGGTGACGGTGTTACGACAGTGACGTACAGAACCTGGTGGGCCCCAAAGTGAGGGGCCAAAGTCAGAGGGGTGAACAGGCAGGAGGGGCAAAAGGAAAGGGGCAGACGGAGGGGCAGGCGGCCCAGGGAAGGCGGAATCCCTCCCGAGAAGACCAGAGGCCACAGCCTGTGATGAGGCAAAACCTGGTTCAGATCTGACCCACTTCCAGATGAAGTCTCTGTGCCCCAGCCCTGCCCCTCTCTGCCACAGATCTGGGCCTCAGTTTCCCCACTATAGTCAATGACCTAAGGACTTTCTCAAACCGTGTAATAACTGCAGGCTGCAGTGGGTCCCCCCAGTTGCCCACCCACTTCATCCTGTTGATAAGCAAGCCAGGTCCCTACCAGCTTTATGGGATGTTTCCCTCAACCCACAGAGGGAGCGGAGGATCCTTGAAGCCTTGCTCCCGGATCTCAACCCACACGGTCTCACAAGGGGCGTGGTCATCAGTCCTGCTCCCTCTCCTGGCTGCCCCCCAGGGCAGAGTGGGGGCCCTCGCCCCATGCACAGAGTTTTAGGCCTGAGTTCAAAGTCCTGCCTGTCTCCTCACTGCCACTCAGCCCACGACCCCAGGCTTCAGGCGCTGTGTGTGCAGGTGGCTGGGGGCTACGGCGTGGGGAGAGTGCAGCAGAGTGTCAGTCCACCTGGGTTCAAACCCCGGCTCACTAGCTAAGCAGCCAGGGGCCCTGGACAAGTCACGGAAACACTCATGCCTCAGGCTTCCTTTCTAAGCACAGGAAAACGGTACCCATCTCGGGGAGCTGTGAGCAGTGACTCTATGGCTAGACAGCACGGTACCTAGTACAAAGCAGGTACTCAGGACAGCACAGCTGCTCTTACTAATCAGCATTTTCCAGAGTTCTGTAGAAGCCAACTTCCTGCACGCAGCCCAGGAAAGAGACACCCATGGTCAAGCGGGTGGGAGGCACGGCCATTTTGGGAAGGCATGGTGCAGGGGGAACTTAGGGAGAGGTCCTCCAGGAACCCTGTTTAATCCCAGCTCTTTCAACACATGTGGCCACAGAACTCCTTTATAGCCTTGGCTTGTTTCAAAGTTGCAGGCCACAGCAGGTGCTGCCGGGGTGGTCCCGATGTTCCAGACTTCCTGATTTCCACAGGCTGTCATCCCTCTGATGGCCAAGTCCTCCAGGCCCCTGGCAGGCTCAGATTTGCTGCCCTGTGGCAGTGACAGGGTGGATGAGCGTGGCCCCTTGTGGCCCTGTCTGGCTGTGCCCCCACCCGCATGCCGGCCCCATTAGGTTGTCCTGCCCCTTGGCCCTCACGTACCAGATGCATATCTCAACGCTTGGTCAAAAATCCAGGTCCCTGAATAGCGACTTCGCACAGATCCACCGTGGGGGCTGCCTTCGGGCGCTTTTCCATCTGAATTACGTAAGAAATCAGAAAGATCCCTTAAAGTTGGGGGTGCCTGGGAGGTGAGGGAAGGAGCCAGGTGAGGGGGAGGGCTCCACGTCTCGGGTTGGCCAGTCACCAGAGCTGCCAGGGCCTCGGCTTCTCCATCTGCACAAAGAAGTGTGACCAAGATTGTGTGGTCTACTTTTTCACCAAAGAACCTGTCCTGGCCAGGGGCGGGGGGGCACCCGTACCTCCCCTGGGAAGCTGGGCTATGGCAGAAAACAGCCACAGGCCCAAATCCCCCCGAAGTTTTATGTTTTCTCTGTATTCTAACTTGTGATGTAAATAAAACATAAAATTATCCATTGTATGGCTGTAACATTTCTCCCCAAGAGCATTCCTGCAAAATGACCCTAGAGGGAGGATATGCCCTGCGTGTGCTGTGGCCTGGTGCCTATCCCCAGCCACAGCCTCTGCAATACCCCAGTGTGGTGCAGGGGGGGCGCCAGCGAGCCTTCTCGGGGATGCTCAGCTCAGACAGTCCGGGTCCCCACAAATGACTCCCTGCCCCGCACGCTTCCTCACTCTGCTGGGCTCCCCAACTACCCCTGTGTCCTTTGTCACCACCACTCCCTACTAAGTGCCAGGTGCTTAATGCCCTTCATTCAAGCCTCTCCTACATCTCTGCGCAGGGCGGGCCTCCGAGCCCAACGCACAGCTGAGGAAGCAGAAGCTGGTCAGATGTGCAGCCACGTGGCCAGCTCAGCTCACCCTCACACGCCAGGCAGACACAGGCGATTATCACCCCCATTTCTCAGATGAGGTAAGTAAAGACTGCAGGGACCACACGTCTGGCCACAGGCGGCTCAGACTGGCGGTGATCGGGGAGCCAGTGTATGTGACGGCCACACCTTTGGGAAAAGACCAAGAACAGATGGTGCTTGTTAACATTTACCATCCACTGGGTGCACCCAGGTCTCGTTCCCGTCCTCTATCCTCCCAGAAGTCCTGGTGTGCTTGGGACAACTCCGTACCCAATTCACTGATGAGCGTGAATATTCTAGGGGCCAGGCGGTCCAGGTGGGAGCTACTCAGCTGGTGGCTGGCCGGCCTTCAGAGCCACCCTGCTGCCACCGCACCAAGTCACCTCTGGATGCCAAAGACGCTGCAGGGGGAGCCGATCCCCTCCCACTCCCGCTTGCCCCGCCATGTCCAGTCCTGCCTCGGGACTCCCAGAACCCCCTATCCCCTCTCAAGGCTGCCGGGAGGCAGCTGACAGAGCATGCCAGCACACGGCAGCCAAGCCTCTGCCTCTCCCCAACCCTGTCCCTAGTGACGCAAGAATCCACAAGCACTGAATAACAGAACCTGTCTAGCATTTTCTGGAAGCACGTGGCACACAACGGGGCTTAGCTCCCTCCCCAAGAGCGCAGGTGAGGCCAGGCGGGACCAGGGGACTCTAGTTGCTGAGGCCATGGAGGGGAGAAGTCGGGAAGGCTCCTGCAGGGAAGGCAGCCCCTGAGGACAAGCAATGAGGGCAGCAAGCCTCAGCTCTACTATCTGCACCCAGCTAGCTTTCAGACAAGCTCAGACACCTTTCTAGATACACAAAATGCAACGAGGCAGAAATCCGGAGCAGGTGAATGAGAAGACAAACAAAAGAAGGTGGGGGTGCCAAGAAGCACCGAGCCCTCTTGGTTCTGGGACCCGGCAGGAGCAAGGCCCAGAGCCTGCTGGCAGACAAGGGAGCTGGAGAGGTAAATCATGGACAAGTGGGTTTTCTGAGGCTCTCAGGGCTTGGACTCAGACCAAATGTCCTTGGGACCAGGGTCTTCCAAGCTGAGTACAAATCGCCTGGGGATGTGTGAGCACAGGCAGTTTTAAGAGAATCAATACCCCAATCATCAACTTTCATATATATTCTTCCCTAAAATCAATGTGCTGGAGATGTAGCGGTGGGCGGGGAGGCCCCACTCAGCTGGCTCTCCTCACCCACCCCCTGACACGCCACAAGCAAGACAATTCCTTCACCACCGCCCCCCCACTGGGGCTGCCCATCTCGCGGCTCCAAGCAAAGAGGTGATCCCAAGTATTGGAGTGAACCTAGAAAGTGGGCAAAATCTAACACCAGGGAACAACGCTTTCTGTGAATCGTGTGATTTCCAATTCTTTACTCTCAACGAAACTGAAGCATCATCTAATGGAGCTGTTAGTAGAGAGACCATTAACAACAGTGTCTGATGACAGACCCCATGCGATTTTCAGCCCACAACTTAGAAAGAGTTCCAAAAATTGAGTGACGCTCAAAGCTGCATCCATCCCTGGTTCCTCACCTATGTGATTAAGCTTTCTAAGTACTTACGTGTACAGAAACCAAAAAGCAGGAGTTCAATTAATGCTAAATCTCGTCTCAGTAGTTAAGCGTCTGCCTTCGGCTCAGGTCATGATCCCAGGACCCTGGGATCGAGCCCTGCATCGGGCTCCCTGCTCAGCGGGAAGCCTGCTTCTCCCTCTCCCACTCCCCCTGCTTGTGTTCCCTCTCTCACTGTGTCTCTCTCTGTCAAATAAATAAAATCTTAAAAACAAAAACAAAACTCAATCTGGGAAAAAAATGTTTTAAAAAGTACAGTTTTATGATCCCGACCAATTTTTTTTTTTTTTTAGAAATTTCGATTTCCATTTATGTACATCTTGTTGTAGGAGATGAGTGTAAAACAGTGATCAATAAAAGACTCTCAGGCATAAAAAATATATTACATTAGGATAAAATCCTGCGAGGGAAGTGGACTGGAAATACGAGTTCAAGGAGAGAAAGGGAAAGATGTAAAATTTCTGACTGCTAAAGATGAGCCTGTTCGCATGTTTTTAAAATGGATGATGGCAGATATTAAACAGCAGTGGCTTTGGATTCTCTCCGATAATTTAGAACAGTGGTTTCACAGTTATAGTTCCAAAATGACAGGTTTTTTTTTTTACACAACACTCCAGAAATTAGATCCTTTGTAATTATTTAAACTTTGGATAAAAATGTGAGATGTCAATTCAAAAATACGAAAGAATATACCATTTCTCAAAATTCCCTTAGGAGGTGATGAACACAGAAAGTTGAAAGCCACTGGCCTTTCGGGCTCCCAGCACTCCAGATGGACCTCCAGACGTGTCAACGTCCTGAGGCTCCAGCTAATAGCGCTGGTATAGCTGTTTCGCATTTTCTGCCGCCCCACATAAAAAAACGCTTTCGTACCTGTTACCTCCCTCTGTCCCCAACAAGCCGCCTGGAAAGACACGCAGGTGTTCTTACACCCACCAATCAATGAAGACAGCATGGCAAGGAGAGGCTAAGGGTCCGGTCTAAGACTCCACCGCGGGGCAGATCCTGGGTCTCTTGGATTTACAGCCCAGGGGCCCTTTCCCGTGGGGACCCTCCACCCAGGACCCCTTCCCACCTTGAACCACCAGATGAAGGGCCAGCAGCAGAGATAAGACGTGCCTGGGAGGGTGGCCAGAACACCTCCTTCCCTAGCAGCTGCAGCAAAGGGCTGAGTGTTGGTTCTGGCAGGCTCGGTGCAAGGCCTGCCAACCACCCACTGAAACAGGAAACTATCAGCCGGCGCTATGGAGCAGGACCTGGCACCTCAGCTGCTTGCGTTTGTCACAGCCCTAAATCCACGTGGCCGGGTCTGAGTGGCTGCCTGCCCTTCTGCTGCTCCTTCCAGAGCTGTGGTCGAGCCGCCGCCTCCTTTCCCCGTGCCTCCTCCCTCAGGCAGTCCTGCGGGCGTGGAAACACCTCTACCTCGTGGTGCTCAAAGCTCACTGCTTAGAAACGTCCATGTAGTCCTCCATCTGATCCTTGACTCTGCCCCCTGCAGCCCTTCCAGTGACTTCCAGGACAGAACTCATGCCCTCACAGGCCTGTATCCGGTTCCCAAAAGTTCCCACAGTCACAGAGGCCTTCCTGTTACGGAGCTGAATTCACTGGTGAAGCCCCTGTACTGGTCGGGGCCGTGCAGAACGTGTCCACTCCTTCCCTTCCCACTCCAACACTCCAGTGCTTCAAGCCGTGCATACTTCTATCCCCTCATCTCCCTTGCACCCCCCCCCCCACCACTGGCCCCCGCCCCCAGTCTCTTCCTCCCCAGGAAAAAGCCCTTAGCTCTTCTATGGGGTTCCTCGCCACACTAGGAATGAACTCTATGGACATAAGCAGGTTGGCCCACACCCCTCATCTGAGGAGGAGCCCTGCTGGGTGGCTTGCTCCCTCCAGGGGCTCCTGTACCACCGGTCTCCAGGCACCTGCCGCTCTCCCTGGGCTCCCCTCATGTGTAAGCTCCCCAGGATTAAGGACCGACAGTCTCACCATACAGAGAAGAGCACCCACTGCTTGGTAGTACCTTCTGATCACTGTGATGGGATCTGAGCATCCGTCTCTCTCAGGACCAGGAAATGCTCCCAGGACTGAATGTCCTGACTGTTGTAAGGCCAGCTTGCCTTGTCTTTACCACCTAGGACAAGAATGCCAAGCAGGTTTCCACTTCCTACTTTTCAACTCTGGCTGACTGGCAGTGACGTCTTGGTGGACTGTGTTGAGAAGGATTCTGAGGTGCACTGTCGCCATCCGCGGTGATCAGTGAGCGATGCCTGCTGCTGAGCGTGAGCGGAGGTGGTAGCAACGGCAGCACCCTGTGTTTAGCACTCCTCGTGGCGTTCTTGAAACGTCCAGTGTGGCACCACCACTCGTCAGTGCTGCTGTGCAGAGTTCCGCGCGCAGCTTGTCGGGTGGACACCGGCATCTGTGACCTCACTTCTTCCACTTCTGGTTTTATCCAACAGGGTCATCAAGTTCAATATCATCTCGGCTCTTCTTGCTGAAAACCCCCGAGTTTCCCCCACACTAGCTCCAACGGCAGCGACGTTCTAAGAGCAAGAGATCTCTTTCTTAGCACAGAACTTCTGGGCAGCTGGGAAACTGCAGTCCCCACTGCAAGCTTGACAGCCAGCCTCCTGGGCACTGATGGCCGCCCCCTCCCAGCCTGAGAAGCTGCCAAATGCCATCCACGGGTCCAAGCCCTGGCTCCTCCACAGGAAGTGCGTCGGATGAGGACTTTGCCACTGGGGACACTGTTTGTTTGATGGCTGTTATGGGGCCAGTGAGGACCTGGGGGTGGACACAAGGTTCCCGCACGGCCCAGTCCTGAGTGACCATCGGGAACACTGTTCTATTCAGTAAGAGAGGCCGGCTCTGAGCCCTGAGTGGGGCTGGGTGAGCGGGGCACTCAGAGGCCCCCGGCTGCACATGCTTCTCTGCCCAGCGGCCCAGGAACATGTTCAGCAACTCCACGCCGCCCAGCCTCTGTGGCACGAGCGCATTTAAAGAGATGGCTCTAACCAGCATTTGGCCCCTGGCTTTCCCTCCTTGTTTTCCTTCCAGGGGGGAGGAGGTCGCTGTGAGGGGCACCGACCCTTCATGAAGTGCAAGAAAACATCACTGATGTGCTCTGTGGCCCAGAGCCACTCTTTCTCCTTTCGGTTGGCCTCTGTTGGCCCCGCTATAAAATGCGGGGATAAGGGGTGTCAAATGCATACCATGGAGAGCCCCACTGCCCATTTCCACAGCCATGGCAGACTTTTAATCATCAATCATGCTTAACCATGCCATCCCTTTAGAACCTTTAACACAGAACCCCTAATAAACAGCAGCAAGTACTTGGACATGGCCCACAAGATAAAACCTACTTGCCCTCTTGAAATCAGCGGAATCCAAAAGGCTCAATTCTTTCACATTGATTTTTTTTTTTTTTTAACGCTTTTCTTTCCTGGTACTGGGGCCAAGCCAGATTTCTCTGAGCCTGACGCTTGGCAGAAACTACACCCTCAAGGAGGAAGGTCCGCCTTGATGGATGCAAGATGAGTCTCGATAATCAGCAGGGAAATGTCCAGGCCCTGCTTTGGTCCCGGCTCCAAAATGGCGGCTCAACTCCCCGTTGCCACTGTGGCTTTACTCCTTTTTCATTAAGAGTCTGTGAAAGGCAGGTTACTTAGAAATGTCACAACATACTCAAGGCCCCTGGATGCTAGGGAAGCAGCGCTAGGAGAGGCTCCAGGGACACAACAAGCTGCCCTGTTCAGATGACACAACAGAGGCTCAATCAGAACCCACGTCTTCTGACACCTCACCCAGCGCCAACCTCCCCGGCCCAGTTTTTCTCTACATCACCCTGGCTTATTTCTTAGGCTTTGGAAAAAATGCAGAAACTATTACTACTCTTCCCACTTGAAGAGGTACTTGAGAGAGGTACTCTTCCCCCTTGAAGAGCAATGCTAATACCCCTGATAAAAGCTAATCGTTTACCAAGGACAATGCGGAGTGCTTTATATACATCATCTTACTGAATCTTCGCCTCGCCCCACGCACTGGCAGTTGTGAGAACTGAGGCACAGAGAGATCAAGTAGCTTGCCTGAGGTCCAACAGCTATGACATCAGAGAGCCCGGATTCACGCCCAGACTTGAGGACCCGAGCTCACTCTCCTTGTACGATGCCGTTCTCTTCCACTGCCTCTTTTGATCTGCACACCCGGGAGGTGGGGACAGGGAGCCTCACTGAACAGAAGAGGACACTAAGGCACCGCAAAGCCAAGGACCCTGCTGCTGACTAGCAGCTGAGCTGGAAACCAGCGTCCGTGGCCGGCATGAGGCCCCGAGGCCTCGCACGGTGCCGGGCGCCAGCTGCCGGCCCAGGGAGGACTCCCTTCCAGCATTTCCCTAGCACGGCTGCTCTAGGCCTTCCCCACCGAATCCCGACTGCTGGCTCCATCCCGAGATTCAGATTCAACTACCCTTCACCGAGCATCTCCTGCTAAAGAGGCATAAATAGCTACTGGGTCCAATGAGTCTTAAAACACACACCCCAACGTGAGCAAGGGCACGTCCCCTCTTGGGTTAGCGGACACATTCCTAGTGGCTAACATGGTCGGTCCTTGGCCCCGGGGAGCCAATATTGATGGAGGAAGGCCAGACACAGGCTCCTGAAAAGGCCCTTCTTCCACTGGGCACTGGGCCAAGTTACTCATGCTCTTCACCAAGTACTGCTGGTTCATCCCAGTTCTGTCACACAAGAGAATGGCATTTCCAGGCCACCTGAGTTTGGGTGGGGCCACGTGACTAATGTGGCCAATGACAGGGAGGGGACTTAACTCTTCTCCTCTCTGGGCTGCAGCAGGTAATAGCTAGTGTGAGGCCCCCAGAGCTTTCTTTCCCTCTGTCCCTTGGCCGGCAGCATTTCATATAATGGTTGCTTTTAGCCTGGGTCCAGAGCAGAGCCCCCAGATGACCCACAATGGACATGTAGTGTGACCAAGAAAGGGACCTTTGTGGTTTTGAGCTACCAAGATCTCGTTACTTTCAGGATCTTCTGTGACTGGGCCATAACATAGTCCCACCCTCACAGTTATGGCACCAAAGTCAACACCGCTCCCTAGAAGCCGGTACCTTGGCTAGACACTGTGGGGTGGGCACAACGAGCCCAGAGACACAGATCAGACAAGTCCTGATGCACTGACCTCCAGGGGCTCCTAGTCCCGTGGCAGAGGCAGGCATGGACAAGGCCCCTCTAATCTAAAACAGATAATGGGAAGCACCCAAGTGAGGGGCAAGGTAGAAACAGAACGCGCTGACCAGAAGAAATTCAAGAAGGCTTCTGGGACGAGGTGGTACTGGAGCTGGTCTTGAAAGATGGGCTGGATCTGGGCATGTGGACATGGGCAAAGGCATTCCAGGCAGAGGGAAGAGCACGAGCCAAGGGCAGGAATGCTGTGGAAAGGCAGAGTGTGCCAGAATGAAAGGTCCTAAAAGATCATAAATAAGAAATAGGGATCAGGTTATGGAGGATCTTGATACTATGGCCTTGAGAGCTTGTTTGGAGGTTCTAAAGCAGGGGAGCACAGCTACTCATATACCCTTGACCGAAGAACGGTCCTCCTTGGCCCTACACACAGTGGGGAATCCCAAGTTTCGAAGCAGGGAGTGACATGGTCAATGACTTATTTTTGCCAAAGCCCCTGGCAGCCAGGGTGGAGGGCAGGTGAGGGCAGACAGACAGACAGGCACGGCTGTAGGTGGGATGCTACAGTGACCCAGCTGGGGCTGACAGTGCACAGAACAGCGGAGGAACAGCGAGGAAAGCGAGCCCAGGGCTGAGTCCCGACATCTGGGAAGAAGAGGCAAACGGGACTTGAGGGTAAACTCGGGGACACAGACACACGGGGAACTCCGTACGAGGCCCTGCATGCCGACATGGGACATGAGCCCAGGAGTCTGGAGGAAGTGAGCCAGAGCTGAACCAGTGAGGACAGGGAGGGGGGAGGGAGGTGGCAGCGTGTCCAAGAAACGTGGAGGACCGTGCGGATGGGGAACAGACCAGGCAAGGCCTCGATGCCCGGGTGAGGCTCGCGGACTTTATGTCACAGACCAGGGGTTGCCAACCGGTGGCCACGGAAGGCCTGTGACCCAAAGATAGGTTTTGTTTGGCAGATTTCAAAAGTCAAATTAGTCACCAACGCTTAAAGCCAAAAGAATGCACATCAAATGTCTCCCTTCTGGCACGTGGCGTGTCCAGAGATCAGCCACACAGATCCCGTCTCCCACCTGGTTACTGAGGCGGCAGAGGACCGAGCCCCGCCATATATGCGTTGGGCCTCGTGGGCATCTGAGTTTGTGACCCTGGCAGGGGTGCAGGGAGCCCCTAAGGGGAATCCCCAAGAGGGGGCAGAGAGGACTAAGAAGCTCGTTTCCACAGACCTCCTCTGAGCCTGGCCCAGCCCGGAAGGGGCCGGGGAAGGTGCCAGTCTGTCACCAATCTGATCTGCCTGGGCACCTCCTCCAAGCAGGACTCGCACTGGGAGCTGCCTTCAGGAGCCCGTGGTAAAGCCAAGGAAAAGGAAATGCAGACAGGCATTTAGCACAATAAGCAATGTGTCTGTGCTAGACCCACCTGGGGAGCATGGGAGCCCCACAGCATGAGGGATTCACCACACCTACAGAAGGTTCCAGGCATCTGACCTGAACAAAGTCTTAAAACACGGACAGAGCTTTGGCACATCAGGTGGAAAGGAAAAAGGTCCAGACTAGGACTGCACAAGCAAAAGCAAGTCTAAGGAGCCTAGGTCCTTCCCCGAGGGCAGAGGGGAGCCACCAAAGGCTCTCTTAGCCAGGGAGAGGCAGGCCTCTGCTCTGCTCTTCAGGACTCTGACCCCACGCCCCGCCCCGGTCCCAGCCCCGACCCCCTCAGGCACTCACCAAGGGTCTGCTGATTGCGGACACCACCGATCACCACGCAGATCTCAGCCGGCACATCACCTGTACCGTCCTTGCTGACCACCTTCTTCTCCTCCTTGGCCTCCCCCTGCCAGATCACCTCCTGGATGTAGTCATCAGGGAGCTCTGTCTTCACCTTCACCTCCGTCATTGTTCCCTGCTCGGCACTCAGCGAGGCCTCGGCCGGTGCGGGCTCTGGTCCCTCCACCTTGGTGCTCTTCTGGCTGCGCTTCAAGCGCTCCCTGGGAGAGAAGACAGTCTGCTCAGTGTGGACCCCGTGTCAGCCCCCAGACCCATCTGGGAGCCCACCAACCCAGGGGGTTGCATAACGTTTAGCTACAGACCCACTTCTCCATGAATCTCACCTTGAAGCACACGGCCCCCATGGCAGCGCCTTGGGGTCTTCCTGGGAACCCAATGTGCTCAGAGGAACATAGTTTGAAAATGACTGGGCTGGTATGGCTCCAATTCCACCCATTTCAGAGATAGGGAAGTTGGGACCTAAAAAGATCTAAACTCTTGTAACTGGAGTTACAGAAGACCTTCAAGGGTAGCTCTGGGTGGTTGAAATCAGTTCTTCTCAATCAATGTGCATATAAATCAGCTGAGATTGTTGGTAAAATGCAGATTCTGGTTCAGCAGGTCTGGGGTTTAGCCTGAGATTCTGCTTTTCTAACAAGCACCCAGCCAGAGCCAGAGCCACTCGTCTTTAGTCTGCACTCTGAGCAGCAAGGGTTTAAGTGATGTGTACAAAGTGCCTGGTGCTGTTCCCTTCCCTTCTTGGCAAAAGGGCTACAGATTCCATCCAAGCTCCCCCCCCGCCAACCCCCAGTTCCCATCCGACAGACGGGCAACTACAAGCCAAAAGCCTCACTCAGACCAACAGTCTGGCCTCCAGGTAGGTCTTCAAACATCCAAAGACATTCTTTAAGGCCATGAGCTCAGTGTTGAGGTGGGCAAGGCACCAGTTATGAAGCCTCCTTTATGAGGGGTCCACCGCGGCCCAGAGCAGAGCTGGGACTTGCCCAGCGCCACACACAACACTGGGGGCAGGCCACGGCACGGAGCCAGGTCCCTGCCATCTCCCGAACAGATGGTTCGGTGGGACTCTCTGTGTTATCCTAAGGGCCCCCTCAGCCTTCTGGCAGGGGGATCATCATCATCATCATCATCCCATCTCTGAGGTACAGAAGCCAAGGTGCGCAAGAAGGGGGGATCACATCACGGTCCAGCCTGGGGATGCCACCCCGTCATGCCCAGCCCTCTCCGCAGACTGCACTTTAAGGCCCAGGCTCGAGGCACACACAGGCAAAACCCACTAGCATTACCAACTGGGGCTTCGTGGAGATGCCAGGCTGGGAGGCAGAGACCCAGGTTCTGACCCTGGGTCTGCAGTGGGCTTACTGTGGGACTATGGACAAGACCTTGCTCTTCTCTGGGCTTCAGCGGCTCCATCCGTCATCAACTGCATGAGTCCGATCACATTCACGGCTCCTCTCAGCTCTGAACTTGCTCTCGGGTTGGGGGATTACGGAAACACAGGAGGAGGGTCCCAGCTAACGAGGAGGAGGGTCCCAGCTAACGAGG